AATGCATCCACCTAGGGCAGATGAGCTTATAGCAAGGTGCCCTATGCTGTAAATGGTGGTCATGCCTTTTGTTCTCCCTTATGTTTGTTGTTATAATTGGAAGCCAATTACATTATTTCTCTCAATGCTGGCATACTTACTAAGGGTGCTAATTAATTAAAATTCTCTCCTCATTCCATTAGCAGAGAAAAAAAGTAAGCATTGAGCAGAAGCAAGGCTGCAGTGTCTCAGTTCTTTTCATAGCAGCATACCTCGCTAGCGGCAGAACTAGGGTCATGTCATTTAGCCTCCTTGACTCTTTGTTCCCTGTCTGTAACATGCAGACAGCCTGTGGTCTGCTTCATAGCAAACATCTGCCTCACAAACTGCAGAGTACTACTGGGGAACTGTATTAGCTTTAACCAAGCCAGTCTACCTTTGGGCAAGAAGCAAGCCAGATTAGTCTATGTGGAGCTCAAGCTGCTAGACTGCTAACTGTGCCCAAAAGATGACTTCTTTACATGCAGCAGAGCATGTATACTATACCACCATAGTCAGCAGGACAGGTGTAGTGAATAGCTATGGTGCTACTTGGACAGCCAGCGATTCTCAAGTGACCCAAACAGGAGCCAGAACAGGTTGGGAAGGAAGATGTCTGTTAGTGAGGTACCAGCATTACATTGGGAAGAAGCTGTAAGTGACAGATTGCTGTTGTGTTCAGAGAGTAGATCTGAGTGTCAGCTAAGATACTGTGGTAAGTGGCAAAGACTTTCTCTGTTGGCATGTTATCTTGGAAGTACGGCAAAAGATGAGACTTCTGGTGTAGGTGGGCTTATCTTAAGCAATTAATTTTCTGTGACTGTAGGTGGTAGGTATTGTTTGGTGCACCCTTCCCCTTTCCTATGTCTACCTTTCTATACAGCAATATTTTTCCCCTCTTTATTCTGGGAAATTCCAAGTTCTCTCCCGTGGTTCATACTATTATAAAGCATGCCGCAAATTTTATACAAAAGGGGAAAAAATTAGTTTGAGAGTCAGGCAGGTACAACTTGCAAAAATAATTTGGCAACAGCAAGCCCTAGCAGAAGTCTGAGGTCTGCTCCACCACCATGGATTATGCAGTGGGGCCCTGCATTGCCACTCAGCAGAAGTTCTCCAGTCTCAAATACTTCAAGCACACCCGTAATTTTAAGGATCAAGTCAACAGAGTTAAACCATAGGACTGGATCGGAAAACTTCACCCAGGATTGTGGAATGTCTGGCAGTGGAACAAGCTGTACTGCAGTCTCACTATTTATGGGTGGCTGCTTGTAAGTGTTCAAAACATTGCAGTGCTGCAGAGTAAAAATAATGCCGATGGCTCCGTGTATAATTAAAGCTTTAGTAAGTCACTTCACCTTCGTGCAGCCCCCCCCTCAAGTAATTTAAGATTTCGCTGTGTATTTTTAGCCTTGGAAGTCTGTGAAAGTTTCTTGCAGTCAAGTTTTGAAGTTTGTGTTGAAAAACTCTGCCTTTTCAGAAGAGTTAACTTTTTCTAAAGCATTAAATATGATAAAAATCTCATTTTTGATGCAAAAGCAGTGCTGTCTTACTTGCACGTGGGCAGTCTTCTGTAGATGCTACATAAACACTGTCAAGTCTGTTCTGACCACATGACACAAACCTACTAATAATGAACAGATGCAGAGCTCAGTGCTAGAGCTACAGCAATGTACTGAAGCAGTTGTGATCAGTCATGGGCATATAATGCTTTGGGACATGCTGGACATTTCACATACATAGGATTAGCTTTCTAGTTTCCCTATCTACAGCCCGCCTTCTGCAGACTTGGGAGATGGAACAAATCCTTGAAGACAGGAACAGCAAGCGCCAGCTCTCACTTGTCAAGCGACTATATTTTTTGTCCGTAGCAAGGCCAAATGGACTGGACAGAGCCAGCATTCATTTTGAGTGTTCTTCCGATATGGAAGAGGAAAATAAAAACAACATGCTGGCAAAAGCTAAACAAAGCATTTTTAATAGCAGGCCACAGAGGAAAATTCATGAGTTACTCTCCATGGCAACATCTAGGTTCCGTCACGTTTGCTGCCTCCACTCTCTCCTCCTTCCCTTTCTCTTCTCCTCCTCTGATCCTTTGGTTCCTGCTGTTCCTGCCCGGGACCTGCCCGCACTGCTGCCCACAGTGGTGCAAGTGTCCACCTGGCATTGGCAGGCAACTGCTTCACTACTAGGTGTCTGCACATCATCGATGTTCCCCCCTTGCAGCAGCGCTTGTTACACCTGTCCTGCGCACATGGGATTCAGATTTTCAAATCCAAGAGGTGCTGCGTGGGACCAAGCAAGCCTCCCATTTTCTAAGCTGTTCCGCTGCTCCTGCTCTCCTTCCGCCTCAAACTGTTAAAGCCACCTATCCAGACTGGCCCCGTGCAGTGTTTGTGGCAGGGGTAGGCTTTAGTCTGTATAAATACTGGAAAGGGGAAGAAAGCTTGCCAAGGCTGTTTAATTAAACTTTAGCCTAAAACTGAAGCTTTTAAGATGCTGGTCTAAAACACCATTACTTCTAGAAGAAAACCAGGTAAGTGCACTGAGTCCTGGCTTACTTCCATGGCTGAAATGAAATACAAGAGGAAGGATGTAGGGGATGCCACTGATGCTCAGGTTGTATGTTCTCTTGGTTGGGACACTTAAACCTTGCTGATGCTGCAGCATTGCGTTGCAGTCTTGCCATCTCTATGTTCTCTACATTTCAAGAGAAACAAGTCCAGCACCCACTAGCAGGTGAAGAATCACTGTGTAAATGACAGCCTCCGTACCCCAGACTAAGCACTGGCCCTAACCCGTAGCAGCAGCATGGTACAAGAAAGCCACAGACACTTCAGCTGGATGCTCTGCTTCAGGAGTGCAGTAGTTGTGTTCCACCTGTGTTCAGAGGGGGCTGAATGGCAAGTGGCTTTGCGTCTTCCTTTGCTTGCTTTGAGTGCCTCTCAGGAAACTGGGTGGGAATATACCTCCTCGCAAAGGAGCACATCTGGCCACAGAGCCAGGCAGCCACTTGAGAATGCTTAGCTTCCCCAGGAGGAGACCCTCCGCTTTTGCTGCAAACCAGAGAGATCCGCTGCACATCCCCTGCCCCCAGTCACAGCTCTCTGAAGAGGCCAGGGGAAGAAGAGGCATGGTGGAGACCCTGACCAGAGCACTGCACTTGCAAACTGCAAGAGCAATGGTAGTTCACACACACAGGTACATCGAGTGCTCTTCTGAACCAGCCTTTTCTGTTCAGAGAGCTGCAATAAGCTTGGAAAGAAAACAGTCGTCTCAGAGGGTTTAAGTGATACACCTGTTAGCAGGTTATCTCTGATGTGGCCTAAGCCCTGCTGTGTTCCAGAGAGGGGGAAACCAGGGACACTGGTGAGGACTTGCGCTGGCCAGAATGATTCCAGGGTGTTTTACCTTGTGTCTGTTTTCTCAAGCAAAGACACAAACAATTGCCTGCTTTAGGAAACTTCAGCAGATAGTCAGCTCGACGATCTTGTTTTATTGTGTACCCACATAAGCAGAGGGGAAAAGTTTTTGGCATCAGTGGATGCTGCTATGGCCTTTCTTGGGCAAGTTTTAGTAGCTCTCTTTTCCTCATCATCATCCAAAGGACTACAGCTTAGCATATGGATCCATACCAAGAATACAAGACCACCACAACTGAAACAACACCTTACAGTTCAAGCTAGAATAGAAAAACAAATTCAGGACTCTTAGGACCCAAGGTTATCTTAACCAATAGATACCCCATTCACTGTAATACTGAGGAAACAAGTGCAATCCTTATTACCCTTTTCACACAATTTTCTGCATCACACGAGCAAGAACCAGTACATCTCATGAATTTTTAGCACATCCACATCTGCCTCATATACCTGCCAACACTGTTTAATGACAGCTAATAATCATTTTACTTAAAAAATTCAAAGGCACATCAGACACGTCCCCACACAGAGCACTCCCCTGACACGATCCAGCTATACAGGTACATCTCATCCCCACAAAACACATGCTCATTAACTACATCTCCCACCGTTGATCCAACAGCTTTCCTTGCTCCCACAGATGCCTCAATTTTCGTTCCCCTCTCCTTCCCATCTTTCCCTGTGCTTACATGCAGCTGTGCTCCAGCATCATGACACAGTCCCATTTTTCTCTCTAGAAGCAGGAAACGAGGCATTGTCCCACTGCCTTATTTACTCCCAGTGATATAGGGGAACATCTTAAATAACCTCCAGGCTTGTAGGGAGAGGAAGGGGTATTTCCCAGCCCCTCCCTGGCTTTTGTTGCGTAGGGACCATGACCAGCAGCAGCTGCTCCACATGCTGCCCCTGACTGCAGCAATTTGGGTTTCTGCAGTTCCTCCACCTGTAACAGGACAGCTTATCAGATACGATTTCCTTACAGCAGAGATGCTTTCTATGGTGAAGTTTCAGATATCTGGTAGTCAGTGGGAAGCCCACTAACAAGTTGTTTGTGTGCTCAAATTACTTACACTGTGGCCATTGGTGTCTCATCTTGCTCTGGTTTGCACCCTGGCTCCAACTAGGCTCACACTTCTGATGTTTCTGGGAAGATGCCATCAAAAGTTTGCCCACAGCCGGTTCCTCCACATGGAATGTGCCAAGATCCATGTTGAGCTGAAGCGCCCAGGATAGGCTTTCTTGCAAAAACAGGAGAGGAAAACGCTCATGCATCTTATGATATTCCATAACACAGTCACTGCTGCACTCAGCATGGGGGAGACTGCTCAGGACAGGCCATGGGCTTGGCCTCATGTCTTCCACTCTGGTTGAGTGACCTAAACAGTAGTAAACCAGGAGAACTCTCTGCAGGGTGCGATTTTTTACTCTAAGACAAAAACCCCAAACTATTCCTCTCTCATACTATTTTGGTGTACTCTGTGAGGCCAGGAACCAGCAGGTGATGCTCTCGGAAAGGCCGTGGCCACCAGGGTACTGGAATAACCTGGAGAGGGGACTTTATCTTTTGTGACAATGGACCTGAGAGGAGAGAAATGACAAAAAACCTTCGCTTTTGTCTCTCCCTTTATAGTGGCGTCCTACAGATAACACATCCGCTTTGTGTTCAGTGGGTTAAACTGTTGAAAACAAAAAGCATTCTGTATTTACTGGTGTAATCTAAAAATACCACAATTCTGCTGACAGCAAAAGCAAACACGGGCTCCCAGAGGCTTTATTTCCTTGCCGAAAACAGCGCGTGGTGCCCCAGCTGGCTGACATGGCCCCAAGTGAGATGAGATGAGTGGAAGGGGCAAACTCGGCTTCCCATCCCCTCCCAGCCTCACTGCACATGGTGCCTTCACCCTCTGCCCCTCAGCTGCTCCAGAAGGGCAAACCTCAGCTCCCACCCGTCCCTCTGCCCAGCCCCTGGGACTTGCTGGCTGCAGGTGCCGAGTGGGCTGTATGGCTCAGCCAGGTGATTGCAATGGGCCCTGGCGCCCCGTGAGGCTGAACGAACAGACTCGTTAGGCAGCGTACGGCATCTTCTGTCCATGCCTCCCCTCTGTCCCCAAAGAGGCTGTGATTTAGGATAATCCTAGATCATGATCTAGAATAATCCCAGATTTTACTGTATTTTGGGTATTTTTCATTGAGAAGATACAAGAAATGCTCGATATAATTCACTTATCTGATGTTATGCTGGCATAGCTGCAGGCGCTTTTAGTTTACATCTCCTTGCAAAGTTAGCAGCTTGTGTTTGCTGGTTACATTCACAGCCTGAGACCTTTTTGGACAGCTGATTTATTTGGCCAACATCATCCCAGCTGCAGTTTGCATACTGAGTTTATGATTGCTAGGCTATAGGTATGCAAGTGTCTGAATGCTTGGTCAGGAAGGGAAGTGGTTGATTGCCCCAGCTCTGATGCAGCCAGGCAGTACCAGCAGATACAGCAGGCTTGCTTGCCTTCCTCCTCCTCCTCCTCTCCACCTCTCTGCTTCCAGATGCAAACACTTCCATATTTGGCAACGTGTAACTACGACAGCTTCTTAAGGGGAAAACGTCTACCTTGGCAAATGCATTTAAGACTTTCTTCTGCTTTACAATTTAAAGCATATGTGGACTGGAGGAAAAATACTTCCATCTTATGTCTGCTGGCATGTCTCAAGTCTCGTATTTAAAAATGTCAACAACCTCACAAAAATTAGCTGATCATAATTAATAAAGAAGATGCACTGGCACTGGAAAATGAATTGGCTCCCATGAGTAGGGAAGTGGCCTGAAGAGGGAATCAGAAGCCAAGGTGCATGAGATTTTAACCCTAGTTTCTGTATCAATTCCCTGTCCAGAGAGGGACACTTTACTGCTTTGCTTGCTTTATTCCTTTCTGAATGGGACTAGCCATTAGCTTAGTCACTGTGGTGTTTAGGGGATTATTTAGCTAATTCAGCACCTCACTCTAATGATGTAAAAATCTTAAAAGCTTCACTGGAAGGATTTGAAGCTGTAGCTTAAGAATTATTGCTCATTTACAACCTTTTTTTTAACACATCTTGGAAGAGTTAAAGGTAAAGCGAGAGGGGAAGATTTTAATTTTCATTTTAAAGAGAGACATGCATTTCCATTTGGCAAGATTTCGCATCCTGATGGGAAAACGTAAACACTCAGTCTCTGATCTTGCCTCAATCCATATTTAATCTCAGAAAGTGCTGTGGTGTAACTTTGCAGACAACAGTTTCAGGAAGCATGGGGGAATATTCCAGTCTCCTTCTGCTTTGGAGAAACTATACAGGAAAAAAAAAAGGTAACTGAAGCAGGGCAGAGAGCTCACATGGAGGGCACAAGAGACACGGAAGACAAAGCCACAGAGCAAAAGACAGCCTTTCTTTTATCAAGCAATGGGGAGACTTATACAACATCCTTTGGGATTAAAATTATTATTTCCCCTCTTTTCCTCTGTGCGCACAAGGGGATGAAACGTTGCCTGTGAAAGGTGAGCAGTCAGACCACAAAGCCCGCGGGGGCATTTCTCACAGAGGAGAAGACGCTGACCCACTCCCTGCTGGCGATGCTCTGGCATCGGGCTGCCTCCCACCGCCCCGGCAGCGCTCACCCGCTCCCCTCCGCCGCAGTGCTGCTCTGCCCCCAGCTTCCACGTGCGGCAAAGGGAGCGGGTGGGAGTACGAAATCAGATCGAGCCAGCGGTAGGAAGACGAGCAGGGTTGTAGGAGCCGGTGGAGTGTTAGGAAGATGCTGGAGTTGAAGCCTGCAGAGGATGGTAAGATTAAAAATAGGCTGTAGCCAGCCTTCCCCAGCATTCCAGCATCTTTACTGCCTGTTATCCTGGTGACCCACTGAAGAAGCAGCAGCAATGTAAGAGATTATCTCTTCCACCACCCTGGCAGTGCAGGATGGAATGATATTTTGCTCCTAACTACACGCTTCTGCTCTCCCTGTCTGGTGAGGTCTTCTGGAGGGGTGTAAACTAAGTGTTTCCTCCCCATCTTTGGTCAAACTGAGGGACTCCCTCCTTCCCCCAAGGTCAACAGGGCACTTGCATGCCTTGAAGATGAGCTCCTTCATTCACATCTTACAGGGCATTTGCAGGCTTCCATCCTTTGATAGGAAAAAGGGAACTTTTTGTAGAAACCACTGGACATCATGCTGCAGGATTTTTAATTCAAGACATTCGTTAAAGAAGCCATTTCACAGAACTATGTTATCCAGTACAATCCACACTACACCTTTGTACCTACCTTAATAATGCTGTATTTATATAAAAAAAAACGCAAAGAGTATTCATAATGTTAAGAGGTATTGAAATGCATACTTAGATCAGGTAACTGGACCTCCTGGCCAGCAGCTTGTACATTATTGGGGTCAGAAACAGTTTCTTCTGCTCTTTACCCATGCTGTGTATTTCTGCAGGTTGGTTGTGGGACAGACAAGGCTTCCCCAAGTTGCAGGTTTCAGCTAGCCATGGGCCCAGGACATCAGCTGTGAATAAATGATCAGGCTTGCCCAATGTCATAAATTCAGGAAGAATCTTTGTAAAGGCTGCTGTGGTGTAGTTCCTTCCCCACCCCCACCCCCACCCCTTTAACTTTCATACATCAACCAGATCCTTCATCTGAATTGTTTTAGAGGAAGTCTGCAGGGTGTTTGCAAGTTTTGTAAGTCAGTCTGAAGCAGAGTCAAGGACTGCAACACCAGGTTGCCTGGCTCTGGCACTGGTTTAGCTGCTTCTGCTTTGTTAAAACATGCTTTCAGGTAACAACTTGCGACTGGGGAAAGCTTTGAACAAAGATGCAGTGCCACATTAGCACCCCCTTTTTTTTGGTGTGCTACTTCTAGAGCAGTATTTGTGAATAATAACGGACTGCCTGACACATACAGCTTCCTTGAGCCAGTGCTGCTCTAACGCTGGGTGCAATTTTCCCTTTTAGAGCTTGTGTGTAGTAAATGTTCTCCACAAGGGAGAGCCACCAGGCAGAAAAAAGGTAGACTGGTATTTCCATAGACAGACAGCACTCCCTTGTAAACTGCCTGCAGTGCATAAGTGGTTACTGTTGGGTGGTGGGGAAGGAGCCAACACCCAAGGAATGTTTATTCTGTCCTGGTTTTCAGGTATACCTATCAGTGTAATTCAATGGGAGATGGTAGCATGTTTGAGTGAGATGTGGCTGTGCCTCCATTCGTCCTCCTGTAAAGTGTTTCCAGCTTTTCAGTGGGAGCACAAGAAGTGGGATGCTATGAGAAGTGGCTCTACGGGAAGGAATTTGGCATGAAGCCATGGCTTTCACTGGGTGTTTTGTTGCTGCTCTCTCCCTAGGAACGTTTGTATCTGCTTTCACCGTGCTGTGCGGAGCCCGGACCGACCTCCCCGACAGGCACATGTGTTGTGTCTTCTGGCTGAACATTGCTGCTGCTCTGATTCAGATCCTGACGGCGATTGTGATGGTTGGCTGGATTATGAGTATATTTTGGGGAATGGACATGGTCATTCTTGCAAGTAAGTACAGTGCACTCACCCGCTGACTTCTACCCTCCGTGGCCATGTTGCTGGGTCGCAGCTAACGCCCCTGCAAGCCATTGGACTGCACTGCAGGGAAAAAGAGCCACAGGATAGGCTCTGCAAGTCCGTGAGAAACATGGCAGGCAGAGGAATTGCTGGCAGGCAGTTGGGATGGGCCCCGTGACACATCTGGAATAGCCTGCCATCCCACCACATGGGTTAGGATCTTCCTTTCCCCTTTATAAACTGAAAAGCGCAGGAAGGAGTGAGGCCCCCCAGCAGTGTGAACTCTGCTGTCTGGAGTCCCTTCTGCCCTGGTCGCATCTGCATGCATGTTTGAACGAGAAAGCCGTTTCTCCTTCGCAACTCCAGCTGCATCTCTCCAGTTAACGAGACCTTCCCGCAAGGCTCGTTCTGCTCCCAGGGAGCATGCAGGGCCAGCTGTCCCCAGAAAAGCCGTGGGCACTTTCCTGGACCCTCCCTTTCTTCCCCAGAATACTTTTACTCAAAGGCTTTTTTTCATGTTTCACACCAAGTTCTTAGGCTGAGCAGGACTGTTTAGCTACTCGTAGAAGGATTTCCCCTACATCCTTTAAGGAGCCTTCAAAACATTAATCTAGGGGAAGAAGAGAGGAATCCTTTTAAACATACATAATTTAGGTCACCCAGTTAGTATATATTACCAATCTAGAATACAGGCTCTGTAACTTTATCTGCTAAACACTTTTACTGGTGTAGAAGTTGTATCATATCACAGAGAGTAAAGGTGATAGCCTCACCTCGCCTCCAAAGCCAGAAGCAGCCCACAACTCAGGGTGCTGATTGCGTCTACAAGACCCCACTCCCTTTCCAAAGGCTGGCAGAAGCTGGCGGGCATTGCCCCAAACCAAACAGGTCTGAGATCCTTCAGGTTGGCAGGGCAGGCAGTTCCCAAAGCAGGCGCTTCTCCCAAAGAACATCTTACCAGCAGCTTTTGCTTTTTGGTTTGAAAGGGCTCCACTTTGTCGTCTCTGCTGGTGACATCTGTGGCTGCATGACAGAGGAGAGGGGATCTCAGGAAATTGCCAGGCACCTGCCTAAAGATGGAAAGGATGAAATTTAAAAAAAACCAGCAGGAAACCAGTGCACATCCTCAGCTGCCAAACCCAGGGGTTAAACCCTCTCACCAAATCACCTGCTAATTTCTGAGCCAGCTTCAGTTTACAGGCTGAGTTAAGGGCAATCCCCATACAGAGCAAACAATGGTTGTTAAAAGTGAACCTGCAAATTGACTGCCAAGTTTCCTCACAGATGTACCTGCAGAGCAGGGGTAGCCCGAGTTATTTCTGAGGATAAATTGTGAATTGGTGTACATCTGTGACCTGTCTTTAAGAACCTGCCCAATTTGTGTGTAATCCCATAATTATGTGTTCATAATCATACACTCTTCTGCTGTTCCTCTGCTGGACAGCCTCCATGTGCAGTTCACTGTCTGGCAGGACCCGGTTCTGCAGTTGTGGGAGAGGCAGGAAAGCATCTGTCCAGATAAAGAGCTACAGCTGAAACCACGACTTGCTTTTCTCCATAGTCCTGTTCATGTATGTCCTCTGGGTAGAGGGGCTGGGTCTCAGAAGGGTCTTACTGGTTTTCCAGTTTAGTTGCTGAGAAAAACCATACAGCTTGGAAGTATCACCCTGAAGCTGTTCCCTGCAGCAAACTGCTGGGAGGCAGAGGGTGGGTGAGCAGTGTGTGGTGGGGATGCTCAGGGCAAGAGGTCCCTTACTACAGCAACAGTATTTCATCCCAGCCCCTGTGGTGGCAGTAGAGAAGGGTAAGAGGAGTCAACATGTCTTACGTTAACCAGCTGTATACCATCTGACAGGTTCCAGCCCTTGGCAGTTTCTTGCTGTCTCATTAAACAGCTGGGGTTTAAGTTTACTTACCACTCAGAGAAAATAATGGCTAAATAAAGCAGCTCTTGGTTGATGGAGAATAAAAGAAAAAACTCATTTTTTCAATCAAAACAACAGAAGTGATCAATTGCTCCTAGCTGGATCAAACAGCCCTGTCAGACCCAAAATAGTTAGATTTTTCATGTTTTGTTTTCATGTTATAAAAAAAAAGGTAATAACTTAAAAAGGAAACAATGTTTCAAATGCAAGAAATAAGACATTTCATTTAAACTGCCAGGAAACAGTTTGCTTTGGTTGGGTTTTGTTTGTGTGCGAACAAACTATTTGATGCACTGAAGACAAATCGTACGCCGTTGCAACTTGAATTGGCGTGCAGGTAGGAAATAGTTAAAAAAATAGGAAACTTCTGCCCACTTCTAGTCTTTCTTGCCTTGAAATGGCTGAATCCATGCCTCCCTGTGAGGGTGCCATAGGATTTTGATGGTCTAGAGGCACGGCACAGCCGGTGGTGTCCAAGCTGATGGGGACTAGCAGGGAGGAGAAGGGCAGGAAGCAGCGGGGGCTTGGGGACTCCACTCCAGCTTTCTCTGAGGGGTGAGTGCCTTGCTCCCTAGGACAGGGCCTCCCTGCTTATTAGCTGGTAGAGAGCTGGGTGGGACTTAGGGAGACTCGTTGCAGTTTTTCATGTTCTGGTGCTAATTCTCAGCCATTAAAATGGGGAGCCTGCTCCAAGGGGAGAGCTTTGGGGATAATGTCATACTGTCTTTAATGACGGGAAGAGAAGAATTATAGGCCAATCAGGTATACTTCAATTCCTGGAAGAAGTAATCAAACAAGTGACTTACATTCATTTAGAAAATAGAAAGAAACAAATTCAGCCTGGGTTTGTCCAGAGCAAGCTGTGTCAGACTGGCTTGATTCCCCTCTATGGCAGAGGGATTAATTTTGTGAGTGGCGGCGGCGTTCAGCCATCTCTCCTGACTTTTCAGGCGCTGACACCATCTCACACAGTGTTCCTGCCAGTAAGCCAGGGAGACGTGGCCTGCGTGAAAACACACTTGAGAACTGTTCTCTAAATGCATTTTCCTGAACTGGAAAGATATAAGGAGAGATGTGTCAAAAGGTCCCTCCTGAATCCAGCTCTGTTCAGTATTTTCATTCCTGGCTTCATGATGGACTGGAGAAGGGGCTTACAAGCCCCGCACCAGTGGCGGCTGCAAGGATGGCAGGGACAGGGAGGGCAGTGTCCGGATTCAAGCAAATCGAAGAAACGGCCTGAAAAAAATAAATGCTACTCAGTAGAGACAATCCAAGATACTAAGGAAGGATTCATCAACTGCATAAATACATGCTAGGGAACAACTTGTTTTTCAGAGAAGGATGCGGTGGCTGCAGTGAGTCACAAGCTCCACAGGGCTACATTGCTGTGGAGGGAACAAACACCACCCAGGCAGGTAGGAGCAGAGCCTGTAGGACATTAACTGGTCCCTTCACCTTTCTCAGCACACGTAAAGCTCCAGTGAGGCTTGTGGGCAGCTTTGGTTGTTGTACTTCATGTGGACAGCCTGGAGAGAGTCCAGAGGACCATGAGACAGCAGGCAATGAAGAGGGTCAGCAGGCTAGTAAATGTGAGAGGGCAGCAGTTTAGTCTAAGACAGACTTAAATAAGAGCAGGAAAGATCTGTGTGGAAATTAGGAGATGTTTTCCCTCCAGTAAGGTCAAAATGCTGAAGAGGTGACATGGCAGGATCTGCCCTTTCTGTCACTGGAAGACCCCAAAAGCACGTAGACCCAAGTCTGTCAGGAGCAAGGTGGGACACGGGAAGAGACCAGCTGACCTTGGGGGGTCCTGTCTAGGCCTCATCTCCTGTAAAGTGCCCTTCAGCATGATATATCCCAGAAGGAAGATTAATTGAATGCAGTTTTGCTGTCACACTTAATTACTTTTGGCAGCACAATGGCATGGGGCATTTTCTCTACTAATTTAAATGAATTGCCAGCTGGTGCCGTTAAACACCACAGATACCTTCTTTAAGCAGCCATATGGCTTTGGGAACTGTCTTTCACTTTACCTGCTGCCTGAAGGCAAAGGTAGATTAAAAGGAAGCACTTAATTCTTTTGCAAAAAATTTAATCTGGGCTCTCCCCTTGCTGCTGCAAATATCCAGCTGCCCTTGGTGATGGCTGGGCAGCTCTGACACTCCATGCTCTCCTTGAACCCCTCGTCATGGCTGCGAGGACGAGGCTTGGAGCTGAGGCAAAACAGAGCTAATTAGCTGGCCAAGGCCAACCGGAAAATGAGCCTCCTAAGGCTTTCTAGGCAAGTTTCCCTCTGCTAAAGGCACACCTTGTCCCCAGCCCACGCAGCACACATCTTCATTAGCTGTGTCATGCAGAATCAATGCGGAGGAATGGCCTTTCCAGGAACTCCCTAGCTGCTCAGAGCTCGTTATAAAAGGTTTTGTGCCATTTCTTGACAGAAATACCACAGAAATCAATATATTAATGTCATACTGAGGTGGCATAGGGAACAGAAGTCAGGGACTGTCTGTCCAGGTGTTGTTTTGCCTCTCATGAATGCAGCCAAGAAGTCAAGCATGGTTTCTGGAGGAAGCCCTTGCTCAGTTTCTGGCCTCTGAATTAACAACTTGTGTGGCTGTGCTTATGAACGAGTGAAGGTGCCACTGCCTGTGGTTTCACAGGACAGTTTTACTGCTGCTGCAGCCCCTTATTCTGCAGTGGGCAGCTGACTCTCAGGGACTGATTGCCAGCCAGTAGTAAGAAATTACCTGTAATCATGCTGTCCACTTGTCGCTTTTTTGCTAATTACAGCGCTCAGACCTTGCCAGAAGTAGCAGCAGATGATTGCATGGTTACTGTATGCTCGGGCTCCGAGGGACTTTGGAAAGCATTGCTGAGCCTTTCTTCTCTGCAGAGCCCCTGCTAGGGCAGGTAACGCAGCTGCCCTGGGAAGGAAAGGGAGCAGAAAGTGCTTGAGAGACTCGAAGAGAACAACACCCTAAAACAACTGGTAACCCTTCATGAGATGAAGAAATTCTGAGGACAAATTGCCTGCTTAGAACTATTATGGGGTTTTTTTTAATCTGAATAGAGCTGTCCCCCAAACCATGCCTGAGGAAAGTAGTTAAAAGACCCTTTTTTTCGAAGTTTCCTACCAAAGGTAGGGTGAATTCCTAAAATACTGTGGGAATGTTAAATATCACCAGGGTTTGTAGCACCCAGCCAGGCTGAGGCATGCCGCAGTTGTGAGTTACCTGGAGGCGCAAGCAAACTCAGTAGCAAAACTACCAACAAGATGTCAGGTGTAGTTTTCCGAGCTCTCAGACTGTGAACGGCATGCCACGCGCCGTCCGGTATGCCGTGACATTTTGTTTGCCGTCTTCCTTCAGCAGTTCCCCTGCGGTCACACTCGTGAAATAGCACCGTCATGGAGGAGGGTGTTTGTGGGTGTTCGTCCATCTAGCCTGTCCAGCTCGGGGCTGGTGAGCCGGAAAGCAGATGAGGATTCCCCTATACTCTTTATAAACAAGAGCCCCAAATGCAATGATCCCCTTCAAGTGCAAGGATTTTAAATAATGTTTAGCCCTGGTGTGAATGTCTGATGGTAGAGCAGCTGTTCTCTGTTTACTCTGCAGCCCCAATTTATTTGTTCTTTTCTGGTTCTCCATGTGTTTTGGATATATCGTCTACAGTTACATTTCTCCCTCTCTCTTTCTTTCATGTTCCTTTGCCTCCTTTTGTTCACCATCAAAGTTTCACAAGGTAAGTTTGTTTCTGTTCTTCCTCCTCCTCCTCACACCCTGTGGCAGCTCCCTGTGGAGAGCAGCAAGGGCTTGGCCGGGGCAAACCATTTGGGATTCACCTTGGCCAGCGCTGCCTGCTCTCAGCCCAAGTCCAGCCATGTGCCTGTATGTGCGTGCGTCTGCTGTCTCTGTGTCTGTCCGGTGGCTGCACAGGCCCGGGGATGTGTTCTCTGCCCAGCACTGAAATGCCCCTTGGGCTGCCTCGGAGCAGGGCAGGGACCTGTTTCATCCTTGAGAGCATCCGGAGGCCACCCTCTGCATGAACCCAGTCCCAGTAGGACAGCCTGTGCACAGACTGTTGGGTTTATTTTTTTTCCTGAATCTTACTTGCAGTGGTTTACAGCGGAAGAGCAATTTCAAGCCAACCTGATTAAATCAGTGATTTTGTGCACTGATACTTGGACTGACTTAATCCCAGCGCTGTCTGCTTTACAGAACTGCCCCTTAACTGTGTTGCAGGCACACTAACGTAAAGCTGCTTCATACAGAATAGCTATTCCTGTGCAAGAAATGCAATAACTATTTTCGTGTATAAACTATTTAATAAGTTAAGTCTGAAGTAATTTAGTAAATAAGTTTAGCATAGGACAGGTCATCCTTTGGTTTACTTTGGTCATGTAAAGAGATGCAGACTCGGCCACTGTAACTGGCTTCCAGTCAGCTTCAAAACTGATAGGATTTCTGTTGTATCTTAATGAAAGGCATGGTTACACAAGCAAGTTACTGTAAGCATAACCTAGCTTGTTTCCTTTAGCTAAGGATTTATGGCATGTCCTAACTCTGGTCCATGTAGTTGGTGTTTGGTTTTGGTTTTGTTTTTTTTACTTTGCTCTCTAAACACATTAAACCAATGCTGTGAACAAGCCCATATTACAGGTTTCCAACCAGCTCATCTTGCCTTCAGAGCTGACTCACACTTAGAACACAAATGCATATGAAATCATCATTTTTTCCCCCTAGAAAAAGCTGTTTGAAAGAGGTGAGAGTCTTTCTGTTCAGCTGCACACAATGGGCAGCAACATGGTGCAGTGTAATATGTACTGATAAGTGTCATTAATCTCTTCTATTCCTTGTGCTTGTTTAGCAGCAGGAGAACCAGGCTGCCAAGGCTGGGTGAATGTGTGGATTTTTCCAAAGTACAGCAAAGTTCATTTGCTGGGGCCAGTTCTTAGTTCAGCAAAAAGTCCCTTAAAGATACTGGCACCTGCTAGTATCTTGTGTTCAGCTTTTTTAAGGGACTTAAAAAAACCCAACATAAGGGTTGGAAAGACTCATTAAAAAGCACCAGTAGAAAAGTGTTTGGAGAGTTAAGCATTCTCCTGAGATGTGAAATGTCAGACTCATTTGAAATTCAAAATATAAAAGTGACAGGCTACTTATTTAAACAAACAAACAAAATCTCCAGATTTTTAAAAGGTTTCTAGTTGAAAGATCTTCACTATTGCAGGCAGTGCAGGTAAGGACAGCTTCTTTGCTTCTTTAAAAAGGAGCTCTTTTGCACTGATACTATCATAATAACAATCCCAGATTCTCTTAAAAAGAAAGCAGGTAAAGCTTCTGGTGCAGTCACTGCAACGACCTAGGAAAGTGTTAAAAAAAACCCCAGTATTATTCTCATTATCCTGTGTGCCACAAGAGGTTTGGGTGCTTTCCTATTGCCCTTCCCTGCCCTAGCTCCCCAGGGGAAGGAGCCCTCCCCTGTGGGATTTGCAGGCTCCCCTCATCCACTACATACAGGATCGATGGGACAGTGGGGCCCCAGTCCCCCCAGGGAGCTGTGACAAGCAGCTGGACAAGCTGCTTTAGCCCCCGCAGCATCCACATGGCTGCAACGCAGCAGGGCCCCAGTGTCTGCCAGGGCCAACTACGAGCCAACACAGAGCCCCCCCGAAGGGCTTCACTGCTTTGGTCGGGAGGTGCATTAGACCCCAGGGGAAGAGGAGAAGGGCTGGAGGAGGCAGGATCTGGGGAGCTTCCCAGCGCAATCGGTTTTGCTGCTGGAAAGCTCTGTTTTCTCCAGTCCCGCTGGACGGCTGCTGTGCCCCAACAAAAGCACCTGAAATTCTGCTGGGCTGGAGCAAAGCAAGTGCATAACAAAGCAGTGAGAATATTGTTAGGGAAAGGGCCCACGGAGGCATCCTGAGGTCTGTGTTAGAACTCTGACACATCAGCTTGTGATTAAAGGTGTCCCCCTTCTCCAAGAGATGTTAGTTCACCTCTGCAAACTGCAGTGCAAATTGGTTGCTGCTGGAGAGCTCTGTTAGCAAAACCCAGCATGGGAACAAAAAGGTGGATAGAGGAAAGCAGCCACCTCCTACCTGGCAGTCCTGTGGAAGGACAAGGTTCAGACGTAGATCGCAAGTAGAGATGCGTGTCAGATACATGACCATGACACTGCCAGATCAGTGCTTGGGAACAGCAGTGTCTCTGGAGCAGTATATAAGGGCATACATTTCCCCTATGCTGCAGAAAACCGTGCTCCAATACAGAATAATTTAGGCAGAAAATATAGCATTTCTGTAAAGGTTTTAGGTTATTGGGCTGTACTGGAATTGGTGGCCACTGGTACCTACTGCGCCTTTATACCTGCAAGTAGGC